CAGGCTCAGCACCCCTAGCAGCACCAAAGTCAATAGCTACATTGACAGGCTCGACTGCGTCTACTTGGGACACACCTGACGGGGCAGGACCCTGAGGGGGGAGAGGGTCTACCAGGGGAAGACCTGGCGCAAGGAAGAGCGGCGGCGGGGGGAGGGGCGCAGTGCGGTAGGGGAAGAGACGGTAGTAGGGTACCGACTCATCAAAGGTGACGTCCTGGGAGGACAGAACACCGCGCGAAGTAGGGTGGTAAAACTGCCAACCAGGCGCGTCAGGGGGGAAGCCAAGGAAGACGCAGGGAACAGCACGGGGGGACAGCTTGTCCGCAGACAAGTCGCGGACAAACGCCAGAGATCCCCAGACCCGAAACGCAGACGCATCGCCAACCTTCCCCGTCCACCGCAAGGTGGGGGAGGTCTCTGGCAAGGAGACCCAGGGCTGAAGGCTGAGCTGATGCGCTGCGTACTGAACCACAAACGGCCACAAAAAATGGGGAGCAGCCGCATGGATCATGGACGTACGAGCGACGTCCATGACCATGCCAATGCGGCGCTCAGCAATCCCATTTTGCTGTGGAGAGGCCGGAAGCGTGAAGGTATGGCGGATGCCCTGCGCACGACAGAAGGCTCCCAGACGAGCAGAGGAAAACTCCCCGCCTCTGTCAAAGTGCAGACGCAGAAAAGGAAAGTCCGAGCCGAAACTCTCTCTGAGCTGGAGACGAGCTGCGCGGATCCAGTCGATCAACACCTCAATGACATCACCCTTGCTGCGCAAGGGGAACATCGTGGTGTAACGCGAGTAGTCGTCAACCACCAACAGGAAGTAACGCTGGTGACCCTGGCCACGGACGCGGGCGGGGCCCCACACGTCCATGTGAAGAGTCTGCAGTGGAGCCTCTGTCGGAGGAAACTCGGAGGAGTGAGGGGCGGCGCACTGCCGCCCCTCTACGTAGGGAACGCAGGTAGGGGTAGGCCTAGGAGGGAGGGGAGGGAGGGACCGGGGGAGACCAGAGACAAGGAGACGGGAGGCCATGCCTCGGAGACGAGGCAGGGAGGGGTGACCAAGGCGGTGGTGCCAAAGGAGAGTCTGGTGGGACAGGAGACGACACGAGCAGGGAGCAGACTCAAGACCAGACCTGGACGCTGCAGCAAACACCTGACTCGACGCAGCTACCTGACCAGACTCAGCAACCGAAGGAGACTCAGTAGTCAGTGTGTACAGGCTCGACCCCGGCCGACGGGTAAACGTGGCCAAGTGTCGGCCCGTCCGAGCACACATACAGTGGTTCACCCGCTGACTCGCAGGAGTGAACTGGTCAACCCCCCCATCCTGTAGATCAGCACCACTCACCAAGTTCGTAGAGAACAAGGGGAGATAGAGACCTGACAGGGTGCCAGAGGGGGCCGCCAGACACGGTAAGACAGTGGAGAAGCGAGCAAGGACAGGACCCCCAGAGGGGTCCGCCAGGGAGACCACAACCGGCCGACTAAGCGGCGTAAGCGTGGTGCGGTCTCGAAAGAAGGAGCGGGAAGCACCCAAGTCAAGGGTGAAGGTGTGTAAGGCCTGAGCCAACGTGGTACCTGAGAGAGCAGACTCACCAGCACCTGGGGCAGCAGACGCACTAGCACCTAGAGCAGCAGCCTCACCAGCACCTAGAGCAGGAGCCTCAATACTCGGGTCAGGCGGAACACACAGGTAACAGTTACCCTCATCACTAGTAGACACAACATACATGGCAACAAGAATAACATCATAGTCAAGATCAAAGATAGCAACCCCCGCCCTAGACAGCTCTCCCCAGCGAGGGATCTCAGTGGCGTCAGGGAACTGGTGACGCCAAGCGTCCGTCAGGCGGCCGAAGCAGCGCTGGGTGGAGTGCGAGCCCCCGCACTGCTCACCAGCGCGGTCGCCGGTACGGAAGACGTAGGTACAGGGACCAGTACCCCCACCTCGCTGACGCCCAGCGTACCACTCACGAAGCTGCTGGGGGGACGGGGTCTCACGAGTGCGCTGCTGCTGCTGGCGCTGACCACCACCAAAGCCGCCTCGCTGCGCAGAGCCACCCCGACTAGCTCCACCTCCTCCGCTGCCACTGCCGCTACAGCCGCCACCGCCTCCTCCTCCGCTCCCACCGCCACCGCCGCCGCCGCCTCTGCCGCCACCGCCGCCACCGAAGCCCCCACCCCCGCCACCACTACCACCACCACCCCCACTCCCTCTGCCTCCTCCACCTCCACCTCCACTGCCCCCGCCAGCCCCTCCAGCGCCCTTGCCCCCCTTGCCCTTGCCGGTGCGGCGTCGCGCGCTAGGGGCAGACGCAGCGCCGACCGACTCGGTGCCAACGAAGTCGACGGCAGCAGCAGAGGCCATAGAGGGCAAATGGGGGGAGGGGGAACACCCCTCAAAGACAGGGGCACGCGGGTCACCTCTAGAGGCTCCTACAGCGACTATACTCTTCTCAGCTGCCAGGAGGCGCTCCTCAAGGAGGTCAACGGTGACTGTGGTCGGGCAAACAGAGAGGAAGTGGTCCCTGATCGAGCGAAGGGAGTCAGGGAGCCGGGTGACTATGTAGTAGAGGGCGATGTACATGGGGGGGGGGGGTTCTTGGCGCAGAACTCAGCAGGAAGCGCAGCGCGGTAGCGGGCGTTACTAGTGCGAAGGTGCGTAACAAGGTCAGCGACAGTGGGAAAGGCGGCGAGGTCAGGAAACAGGTACGGCAGTATGAGGCGACTAAGAGCAGCAGTGGCAGGGGAAGAGTAGCGTGCAACTACAGCGTCGTACAAGGTCTTAGCACTCTTGTACCGGCTAAAGTGCGCACGCTCAGCGGTCGGTAAGTGGCGGCGCACAGCAAGACGGGCAGCAGCATCGCGTGTGGCCCACTGTGAGCGAACAGTGCTGTCAGCATCAGCAGGCGAGGCAGGAGAGGCACCAGAGGTGAGATCGAACAGGGAGAGTCCGTCTGCCCTATCGCACTGTAGGAACAGCTGGAGGTCATCGACCAAGTCAACAGCACGACCCTCAGCAGTTAAAGGTAAGGACACTGGGGGTAGCCATGACAGCAATGGTCTAGCGGGGAGTGCTCTCACCAGTCCGGGTGGGTAGGGCTGGTGCGCGCCGGTAGGAACAGTAGCGGCTCGACGGCGGCTCGGCGGCAGCGGCTCGGTAGTGGCGGCTCGACGGCGGCCTCGGCGGCTCTCCGGCTCGGCGGCTCAGCTGCTGGGCGGCTCGGCTGCTGGGCAGCTTGGCTGCTGGGCGGCTCGGCTGCTGGGCGGCTCGGGTGCTGGGCGGCTCGGCTGTTGGGCGGCTCGGCGGCTCGGCAGCTTGGCAGCTGAAGGGGCCGTGAAGGGCGGGGGCGGGGCCGCTAGGGGCGGCGACGAGGCCGCTAGGGGCGGCGACGGGGCCGCGAAGGGCGGCGACGGGGCCGCTAGGGGCGGCGACGGGGCCGCTAGGAGCGGCGACGAGGCTGCAAGGGGGCCGCGAGGGGCCTCGAAGGGCGGCGACGGGGTTGCTAGGGGCGGCGACGGGGCCGCAAAGGGGCCGCGAGGGGCCTCGAAGGGCGGCGACGGGGCCGCTAGGGGCGGCGACGGGGCCGCGAAGGGGCCGCGAGGGGCCTAGAGGGGCGGCGACGGGGCCGCGAAGGGGATCTAGAGGGGCGGCGACGGGGCCGCTAAGGACGGCGACCGGGCCGTAAGGGGTGTCGACGGGGCCGCTAAGGGTGGCGCGAGGGGCCGTGAGAGGCCGCTAAGTCGATTTCAGTGGTGGGCCCTGAGAAGCGTTCCCACTAGGGAACCTGCTCTATACCATGTGAAGAAATGAGGAATGAATGAACTAGGAAAGAGATGGGTACAAGTAGGAAAACCTAGAAATGTTGTACCCCATATTGTCTACCCCACTACAGCCTACACAGACTATAGCATATAAGTTTGACAGATGTAAAGCTCTTTAGAACATCGATGTGAACGCAAGTTCCACGAGGGGTTTTAATTTCTTATGCTAAGAAGAACTTGTCCTCCCCCCAAGCCCCCCCCCCCCCCCCCCCCCACTAGGACCGCCAATTCATGGGTTGATTGTCATTTTTCGAGGACAAACCCACCTCCATTTCCCCCAATCTCTACTCCTGGCTGCTTGATGACTCATTTTGACCGTCTTAGATTTCTTTGTCTCCGATAATAAAACAATCCCTAGCCTTGATATGTAAATTATGGAGGACAACGAAAGCTCAGATTTAGATGAACATAATAACATTTTCCTATTGATTTATGTTATTAAGAACTGGTTAGGTCCTGTATATTTATCCAGCCCACTTTAAGGTTGAAGTATGTATAATATGTAAGCAGAACCCACTTTAAAGTATCATTTGGCAGTAACGGGACATACTACAGCGAATTCGGGCACGATTCGTCGCGCAGAGCAAGAGATTCCCACTCAGCGACGCTCACCACACGGCCGACCATTGGACAGCCGCGCGACGCTCGACATGATGGCGGTGCGGAACCAGTAGGCACCCCGTCCGACTCCACGAATTCGAGCCAACGCTTCACGTCAAGAGCACAGAATACGCAGCCTCGATGGTACAAAAGTCGGCGGCACTCGCTTTTCAAATCATCATCGAAATTGATCTCGTCACTTCATCTCGACTATTCAGCCTCTCTTACTCTTAGTTCCAGCACTCCAGCACTCGATCATGGCTCGTGTTTCCTTCATCGTTTTACTCGTCCTAGCGCTGTCGTGCGCCGCGTGTGTGTCTGCGGCGAAAGTGGTTCGCGATGGAACTCTTCAGTGGACTCTCATCACACAGGCCCTGCAGAAGGGAGGCCAGCACAGCACCTACCTTTCCATCGTCAATAAAGCAGGTTTGTAAACTCTTTCAATGCCATTCATCTTTCTTCCCTCGGTTCTGCGAAGAGATATATTTTGCTTACCTCGAAATCTGTCAGTCGCCGCAACTCCGCAGCTCTCTTCCGGGTGATCTAACCGACGCAGATGTGTTTATGGAGCGCAGGCACGAAGTTTATCACTGACTACCTCTCCACCTCCACCACTGGCTTCACCTGCTTGGTGCCATCAAACGCGGCGTTCAAGGTTCAGAAGGCCTCCGTCCTGGTAAGTACCCTCGCTGCCAAACTCTGCGAAACACTTAGTCCGTCGCTCGTCGCTCACGCCTCGAATCTTGCTTTGCCCTTGCCATTCTAACAACCCGTGGCTCGGGCCCTGTTGCGCCGCGCAGAAGCCTTTTGCGAAGAGCGCGGTCACTCTCCAGGACCTTCTGAAGAACCACATGCTAAACTTCCAGGCCCTGCCCCCGCGCTTCGTGAAGGACAAGGTTGGCCAGGGATACAGCACGTTCCGTACCAACGGCCAGATTCAGAAGTACCAGGGCGCGGGCAAGACTATTAGCTTGGGCCCGCAGTTTGCGCAGCAGGGCACGCAGCTGGCGAACATCACCAAGGTGGTGTTCAAGGACCCCACGGCTATCTGCTACGAGATCAGCAACGTCCTCGTTCCTCTCAAGTAGCTGGAGAAGTTGTGGGGTTAGCAACAGCGCGCGCATGGTCTCTTCACATGTTAGCAGCACAGGTGCCAGACTTTATTGTAGGAAAGTACTTAGCGCTTCCTAGTTTCTGCAGCCATGGATACCTTCGAGGTGGTGTGATAGTGCATACACATGCTTTGTACGGATTGTTGTAATAAATACGGCTGCTAGCACGTTCAGCTACTTAGGCAAGTTAAAGCTCGCGGCTCTTATTACCTAGCGTTCTACAATAGATTCGCTACGCACGTCCGTACGTATAATACCTCGTCCCCAGTCAATGTGGAGCGGTAGTGAGTAAGCAATCGCACCTCACAGACATAAACGGCTGCAGCACAGGTGCTAGACTTGTATTCGTCTTGGTAACTAGTGCCTAATTATTGTCTGCAGCCAAGATTACGTTCAGGTCTTAGTGATTAGTTTGTACGGATCCTTCAAATAAAGAGATTGGTTCTGTTGCATCACACTACCGTCCCTGAAGCCCTGAAGTAATATCGAGAGCTCACAAAACACCTCACAAGCCTGGCAGATTTTTTGCAACGTCTATCAAAACATTTGTACATGTCTAAACCCAAGGCGTTGCTTGGGACATCTAAAAGATGCCTCCATGGTAAGCTAAAAGTTTCCAACCTTTGTTGCCATCAGGAATGAAAAGAAAGGAACCACGCAATTTAATAGCACACCGTTCCCCCCCTCCCTCCCCCATCTACTTTATCTCTCTTTATATAAGATTACAGAGGAATTCGAAACATGAATCTCTCATGGTCTTAGACAGAAAGAGGAAAAAAGGGAAAGAAATACATAAATAGTTTTGCGGCTATATAATGTTTGACAATGATGTAGTTATTAGGGTTGATATTCTTTCGATTTCATTCCACTAGAACACTGCCGTATAAGCTCTTAGCGTTTCTCACCATTCTGTATGTAGTTTGAACATTTTGTGAGGCAGCCAAACGTCGACTGACGTCCCGGCCCCAGGCACACCCCCGAAATCCCTAGGCTTATACAAGGGGACTGTGCGCACGCCTATTGACCACTGCATCTGTATGCATGAGTACGAGTGATCATGAAGGGACCCATAGCTTTCATATGCTAGCGTCGCTTCGCACATGTAACAATAAACGATTGCGACTCTCGCGCGGAGACATGCACGCTGTCTGTTAGAGCCTTGCGCGGGCCTCGTACTGGTATAGCTGCGACTGTACGATGCTGCGTCGCTGCTTTCGGTGCGTCACCGTGAAAGTTTTTTCCCCACTCTCTCATCGCTTCGGCTTCCATCCGACGCCATCCGCCGCAATTCCTTCTCGATCTCATACCGCATCGGGTACCGTTTGTAGCGCGAATGCCGCGTGTAGTCCCCGCAGCGTCGTCAGCGGGGTTTGAGCATAAGCTTAAGCATAAGCATGAGCATAAGGACGAGCACGAGCATCATCAGCATCGTCACTTGCCGGCAGTGCGCGCGGGCATTAGAGCAGCGCATGTCTCCGCGGAGGCAGCAGCGCCGACGGCTGTAGCAGCCCGCGCTACAGACGCGCACCCCGCTCCAGACGCAGCGGCGGCGCGTCTCGCGGAGCAGAGCAGCGCGGAGCGGGCAGCTGTAGCGCGCAGTTGCGGAGCGGCTGCCACGCCTTCGGAAAGCCCCGAGGCGGAAAAGGCGCTAGAGGGCGCTGTGGCGGAACGATTCGCGGAGATTCTGTCGCGGATGGCGGGGAATCACACTGCGGGGGTGTCGGGGGAGGCGCAGGCGGGAGAGGGGGGAGAGCGGGGTGCGCGGGATGATCGGGGATCAGGGCGGAAGTTGGAAGGAGAAAGAGAGGGCGCGGTATCAATCAACCGTGAAAGGGGGGGAAAAGGGGACGAGGGGAAAACGGGGAGAGAAAGGGGAGAAACGGGAGCGGGTGGAAAGGCGAGAGCGCAGAGAGAGGAGGGCGGAGAGGAAGCGGAGGAAGCGGCGGAGGAAGCTGAAGAGGAAGAGGAAGAGGACGAGGAAGAGGAAGAGGAGCCGATACTTAAGTACCAGAGGCTAGGAGGCGACGTGCCGCAGATAGTGCGCGGTGGCGTGCAGGCGACGTGCGTGTCGGTCTCTGATAAGATGCTGGCACTCGGCACGTCTGACGGCTGTGTGCATGTGCTCGACCTGCTTGGCAACCAGGTGTGCAACACCAGCTTCAAGGCAGTTTGCCACGGTCGCTCTGCCCCCGCCCGCTCCCCTCTCCCGCCCCCATCCCTCCCTTCCGTCCCTGCCCTCCCTTGCCTTGGTTGGTGGCGCCTCACGCTCGTCCGATGGCTGTGTGCATGTACTCGACCTGCTCCCCAACCAGGTGTGTGCGCACTTGCCCCTCTCCCGCCCCCATCCCTCCCTTCCCTCGGTTGTTGAGGCGCCCTAAGCACGTCTGACGGCTGTGTGCATGTGCTCGACCTGCTCCGCAACCAGGTGTGCAACACCCGCTTTTCTCCCGCCCCCCTCCCACCTCTCTCCTGTCCCCCTCCCTCCCTTTGGTCCCCTCCCTGTCTTCCCTCTTCCCTCCCTGCACTGTCAGTTCTGCGCTGTTACCCAGTCTTTCCCCCCTCCACCCCGCCCCAGCCTGGTTTTCCCGCCCCTGTTTCCCCCCCCCCCAACACCCCGCCCTCTCCCTGTTCCCTGCTCCCCCCCGCCCATCTCCCCCCCACCCCCCCAGGTGAAGCAGTACGAATCGCACAAGGCGCCGGTGCGAGCAGTGGTGTTCGATGCATCGGTGAACCACATTGCCTCGTGCGCTCACGACGGCTCCCTCGCCATCCACGGGCTCTTCTCCCCAGACTGTCTGCTGCTCAAGTACCGCCTCCCACTCCTCGCCCTTGCGCTGCACCCCTCCTTTGGCTCCTCGCGCCGGTCAAGGCAGTTTGCCACGGGTGGGGAGGCTGGAGAGCTGGTGCTGAATTCGAAAGGGTGGCTTGGAGCGTCGGATCAGGTGCGATGGAGGGGGAGGGGAAGGGAGATGGGGTAGGCAAGGAGAAAGGTCACGCCACGGGTGGGGAGGCTGGGGAGCTGGTGTGAATTTCAAGGGGTGGCTTGGAGCTTCGGATCAGGTGTGATGGAGGGGGAGGGAGGGGGGAGGGGAGGGTGGGTGTCACAGCAGTAGGTGCGGAGCTGGTGTTAAACTCCAAGGGGTGGCTCCTTCTCCTGCTCCTCCTCTCATCCACGCACGTGTGTGTCGCCCCAGGTGTTGCATGCAGGAGAGGGCGCGATAACATGCATAGTGTGGCACGGCACGGTGCTGCTGTGGGCGAATGAGCGGGGCGTGAAGCTCTTCTGCCTTGCCTCCTCCACGCCCCTCGCCCATGTGGACCGCCCTCGCTGCAACCTCACTGCGGGAATTGACTCCCGCCCGCATGTGTTTTGGATGGTACGCCCCTGCTGCTGCTGCTGCTGCTGCTGCTGCTGCTGCTGCTGCTACTTAACGTCTGCTGTTTGTTTGCTTGCTTGCTTCTTCTTTTTTCTTACATGAAGATAACGTTCGATAGAAGCTGTTTGGTGGTGCTTGTATGTTGACTCGTAGGTTGGCAGCTACTCATCTTAGGCTTCTTGAGTCGCCTCAAACGTAACGTTATCAAAGGACAGCACGCTATGCTTTTGATGCGGGTGTTCTTGCTGTGTGGCATTACATGGCATGGCATGTACGCACGGCATGCCTTTGTGATGCTGCGTCTGCATGGCATGGCATGCACCACATCAGGACGAGACTACGCTTGCCATAGGGTGGGCGGACACGATAAAGATTGCTGCCATTCGCACTCGCTCCTCTGCATCTCCTGCCGCCACCGCAGCAGCAACACCCGCCACCACCACCACTCCCACCACCACCATCAACACCACTGCCGCCGCCACTCCCACCACCACCATCAACACCACTGACGCCGCCACTCCCAGCAGCAGCAATAATGCAACCGCTGCCGTCCCTGCTGCCTCCCCAGCTGCTGCAGCAGCAGCAGCAGCAGCAGCAGCAGCAGCAGCAGCAGCAGCAGCAGCATCACCACCACCACCACCACCACCAGCGGCGGCGGCAGCGCGGTACCTGGCAGTGCTGGCAGTGCTGCGAGTGGAGCATCTTATAGCCGGCCTCGCTCCCTATGCTGACCGCCTTCTCGTTCTTTCCTGCCCCTTTCCTTCCTCGCATCTGCCACCACCCCCCTCCTCCTCCTCCTCCTCCTCCTCCTCCTCCTCCTCCTCCTCCTCCTCCTCCTCCTCCTCCTCCTCCTCCTCCTCCTCCTCCTCCTCCTCCTCCTCCTCCTATACCACCTCTTCCCCCCCTCCACCCCCCCCATCCACCCAAACCCCCCTCCAATCGCCACCCACTGCCCTCACACCTGAAGGAACCACCACTCTCACAAATCAAGACCCCACTTCTGCTTCCACCCACGATACTTCATCCTCCCTCCCATCAGCCTCACCACCCACATCTGTCCCACCCCTCGGTTCTTTATCGGCTGCACCGGCTTCATACCAACAGCCATCCCCCCAGCAGCACCCATCCGCCCTGCAGCCATCCCCCCCTGAGCTGCGCATGCTCACACTGCGCAATCAGGAGGTCATGTGCGACGCGCTGCCCCTGCATGGCTTTCAACACACTGCCCTCACGCACTTCGCCCTCGCCCACTCGCCTTTCTCCGGTATGTTATGCCCCTGACCCTGCCACTCTGTCTCCCCCTCGCCCTTTTCCTGTGTACCCTGCCCACCTGCAACTCTCTCACTCTAGCTTTCTCATGCCCCGTTCTGCGCCGCTGTATTTGAGAATTCTCGAAACGAATTTCGAAATGCATCACGACCCGTTGTGCGTATGCGGGTGGTTCTCCGCAATTCCCACCCAACCCAACCCACCATGTGTGTTGCTGCAGGCAGCAGCATGCAGGGGGCGCAGTGGCATGCAGGCAGCGAGCCGTGCTTCGTCATCCTGTGCCCATTCGACGTGCTCGTGGCTAGACCACGGTGAGACCCCTCTCTCCTCCCTTGCTCCCACTCTCACTCTCTCTCCCCCACTCACTCTCGCATCCTTCTCGCACTCCCATCACATGCCCTCTTCACTTCCCCACTCACTCCCCCTCACTGTTGCCTGCCTCTTCCCCTGTCCCTACCCCTGCTGCTGTACATTTCTTCCCCCAGTAACACTCAGGATCACGTGCAATGGCTGCTGGCGCACGGCAGAGTGCAAGCAGCAGTAATATATTCCTCCCTCCTCTCTGCATTCCCTTCATCCTGCCCCTGCCGCTGCACCTTTCCTCTCCCAGTGACGCTCAGGATCACGTGCAGTGGCTGCTGGCGCACGGGAGAGTGCAAGCAGCACTTGAGGCAGCAGAGCAGGCAGCACGGGGCAGCGTAGGAGGAGTGGGAGGAGAGAGAGGAGGGGGAGTGGGCGGGGAGGCGGATGGGGAGGGGCAGGAAGGGAGCGCGAGTGGGAGGAACGGAGATGTGGTTGCGGAGAACAGACTAGTTCAAGAGGTGAGGTGAGGTGAGGTGTGGTGCGGTGCGGTGCGGTGCGGTGTCGTGAGGTGTGGTGTGTGCTGCAGGTGAGCGGGAACGTCTTGTCGGTTTTTCTTGCTTCCCACTCCGTCCGACACTTTCTACTCCTCCTTTGTAGCACGTTTGGGAAGACTCAAAAGGTAACACATGCTGCCTCACTAACCCAAAATAATCATCCATTTTCCACCCTCCCTCTTCAAATCCAATCAGGTGGGGTGGCGCTATTTAGACCATCTAGTGCTGCAGCGCAAGTACGCCCAAGCAGCAGCGCTCTGCCCCAAGCTTCCATCTGCCTCTCCCCTTCCACTTACCTTCCCCCACAACAACATCACTCCATCAGGTGGGGTGGCGCTACCTAGACCATCTAGTGCTGCAGCGCAAGTACGCCCAAGCAGCAGCGCTCTGCCCCAAGCTGCTCGGATCCAACACCACAGCCTGGGAGAGGTCCGTCCGTGCTGTGCCTCTCTGGTTCGCTCTGCTTCTCCGTCTCTGTGTTGACTTCTGAGTCGACTCAAAAATCGCTCTGCTTCACCTTCTCTGTGCATGCGGTCTAACCAGAGGAGGCGCCATGCCATCGCTGCATGCGTCCCCCCTGTCTAGCCCCACATCCCCTGTCTAGCCCCACATCCCTCATTCCTGGCTATCAGGATTGTCATGGCTCAAATCGTTTTCTCCCATCCCTCGTCAGACTTGCTTTCCGTGCCCCTCCACCTCCATTTGTCGAACCTTCACCACCTTTCTTGCGATTGTCTCTTCTCACTCTAGACCAGAGCCCTCCGGTTGCCTCTCTGTCCCTCTGTTTCCAACTTTTGAGACGTCTCAAAACCGTGTGTAAGTAGACGACTTTTGAGACGTCTCAAAACCGTGTGTAAGTAGACGACTTTTGAGACGTCTCAAAACCGTGTGTAAGTAGACGACTTTTGAGACGTCTCAAAACCGTGTGTAAGTAGACGACTTTTGAGACGTCTCAAAACCGTGTGTAAGTAGACGACTTTTGAGACGTCTCAAAAGTCACTCCAGACCAGAGCCCACCGGTTGCCTCTCTGTCCCTCTGTTTCCCCGTTCTCCCCCACTTTCCCTCCCCCTCGTATCGTGCATGCCCTGCCTGCCCTGCCTGCTCTGCCTGCTCTGCCTGTCTGCGTGCATGCATGCGTGCAGGTGGGTATTCACATTCGCTCAGATGCGCTGCCTACCAGCCCTCGTGCCGCACATACCCTTCGACTCGCCCCAGCTCGGACCAGCTGTCTACGAGGTACCTGCTCCATCCCTCCTCTCTCTCTCTCTCTCTCTGCTCTCTTTCCCCTCTCTCTTCTCCCTTTCACCTCTTACTGCTCCCTCCCCCCTCCCCTCTATTCGCCTTCCTCGCATGAATCCGCCACTCTCCTCGTCCCTTCATTCTTCTCACCCCTTCCCCACCCGCTCTCCAACATTCCCCCGTCCGCTCCTCCTCCCCTCACCTGCAGATGGTTCTATCGTCCCTCCTGCTCTCCCCATCCGACCATCCACTCTTCCTCTCTCCCATCCGCACGACTTTTGAGTCGACTCAAAAGTCAACCCTGCTGCTCTCAATTTTTGAGGCGCCTCAAAAAATCATCCGCACGACTTTTGACTCGAGACTCAAAAGTCAACCCTGCTGCTCTCCCCATCCGACTATCCAATCTTCCTCTCTTCCATCCGCACCTGACCGCACCGCACCACCTCTAGTGCATGCGAGACGTGTTGAGCAAGACCGTTCTCTTTTTCCCTTCATCCCCCTCATCCCCTTCGTCTCCCACTCTCTCTTCAACACCCATACCCTTCCCCAATCCCCTGCCTTTACAGATGGTGCTCTCGTCCCTGCTGCTCTCCCCATCAGACCACCCTCTGTTCCTCTCCTCCATCCGCACGTGGCCGCATCGCCTGTACAGCATGTGCGACGTGCTGGGGAAGGCCATGCAGAGACACCAGACACTCACCCGAGGAGCAAAGGAGTGGGAGGGTCATGCATCAACGCCCCTGTTAGAGGTGCGGAGGGGATGTGAGCGGATGAGAGGGGATGAATGGTGGTGGGTAAGAGGTGACAAGAGGGGCATGTCAGTACAGGCATGGGGTACGAGGTGACTTTTGAGTCGACTCAAAAGGTATGGGGTACGAGGCCCAGCTGTTAACTCGACTTAAAAGTCTTCTTATTTCCCCTCTTTGTCTCGCCCAGCCTGCCATACCCCATACTAGGCTGTGGCAGAGCTGTGCATGCGCTCTTAATGGCTGACTTGAGAGTTGACTGAAAAGATAGCTGTCCTGCTCCCCACTCTCTCCTTGTCTCTCTCGCCCGGCATTCCCATACCCCATACTAGGCTGTGGCAGAGCTGTGCATGCGCTCTCAGCAGTTCCCTGACGCTCTGCACTACTACATCCTGGTACGTACGTACGTACGTACGTACGCCCACTGCTCCACTGCACTCCTGTTTACTCCTCTTCACTCCTCTGCACTCCGTTACAATCCAGTGCACTGCACTTCACCATGGCATTCTGGTCCGGTTAACCGGTCAAGCTCATAGTGGCGTAGCTGCAAACGTCCTGGTACGTACGCCCACTGCTCCTCTTCACTCCTCTGCACTGCACTGCACTGCACTGCTCTGCACTGCTCTGCACTGCACTGATCCCCACTGCTCTGCACTGCACCATGGCATTCTGATTTGGTTAACATGTTTCCTGTAACCTCCGTTCTTGTTTGCATAGTCATTAGTAGTGTTTTTTTGCACTCTACCTGCCCGCGTTACCGCATACCGCCCATCATTCCACAACCTCGAAAATTCACTTTAAGGCCCATTCAGTTACAAGATTATTTGTTATTCCTTCGTTCCGCCTGTCTCCCTCTTCATTCCGCTGCTCCTTTCCTTCCCCCCTCTCCTCCCCCCATCTCCCCCCATCTCCCCCCATCTCCCCCCATCTCCCCCCATCTCCACCACCCGTGTGCAGGCAGCACTATCAGACCCCACCAGCACCGATCGCACCAACACAGTCTTGCATCTCATCTCCTGCCAGCCCTTCTCTCCTCTCATCGCCTCACAGGTGCCTGCCCTTCCTTCAAACTCCCTATGCTCCTTCCAATCCAAGTTCCTGCTCTCCATCTAACCCCCTGTGTACTCTCCTTCTGCCCACATCCCCTGGCCTTTGTGACCCCCTATGATCCCAAGCGTCTTATACAACTCTTGTTGCTCTCTTTAGAACATACCGCCAACCCACCCCCCAACCATCCCATGAATTTTCCTCCCCGCCTCCACCCCAACCCCACCCCCTCGTTCCCCCTTATTGCAGCTGCCCCTGCTTCTGCAGCTTGACCCGTCCTGCATCCTCCTCTTTCTCGCCCACCACCCCTCGCTGCTCCCCCCCTCCTCCATCTTTCCCCACCTCTCGCTGCTGCGTTCGCACGCACACGACACACTACGACGGAGACGGGAGGAAGGCGAGGAGGGAAGGTTGGGGGAAGAGGAGGACGGAGGATTGGAGGGACGGAGGGAGGAGAGGAGATTAGGAGAAGGGGATGAGGAACGGAAATTGGGGGAAGTGCGAGAGAGGAAAGAGGAAGGGGGGAAGGAAGTGGGGTTGTCAGAGGGGAAAGGAAGGGAGGAAAGTATAGGGAGTGGTGGTCATGGGTGGGATTTAAGTGCTGTAGTGAGAGGGGATGGAGCAGGCGGGGGGATCAGCCAACCCACGTGGGTCAAGAATGAAGGGGATAGAGGAGGAGTGGGTGGAGCAGGAGAGGCGGTGTGGTGTGAGTGTGAGTTACATAACGAGAGGAGTGAGAACGGGGGGGCTGGCCATGGGGAGGAGGAGGAGGCAGTGAGATGGGCAGCAGGAGGGGGAGAGGGGCGAGAGGGAACACCAGTAGAGGGAGAAGAGAGAGGAGGGGATGAGGAGGCGAGGAGGGGGGAGGGGGGGAAAGGGAAGAAGAGGAGAAAAAGGAGCTGGTGGTTGGCGGGGGAGGAGAGGGAGATGGTGAGGGGGATGATAGGAGCAGAGCAGGGGGAAGCATTGGAGTGCAGAGCGGTGGGGGCATGGCTTCACATGTATCTGCATGAACTCTTTGTGTGTGATGCCACGCTTACACAGCCATGGCATCCCATTCAGGTGCGCTGGTGTTTTTGAGGGGCCTTACACGTAGATTCACGCAGCATTGGAATGCAGAGTGGTGGGGGGGGGTGTGTTTACTCATCTATCTGCATGAACTGTTTGTCAATGATGCCACGCTTGCACAGCCATGGCATCCCATTCAGGTGGGCTGCTGTCCTGTGCACCCCCACATGCACTGCACGCATGCAGGCTGGTGAATGAATCATGAATCCCCATGCGATTTTTGGGACGTCTCAGATTTCTCTCTTCATGTGCTCCTCTAAAGAATGCTTGAACCATGCAACTTCCTGCCTTTCTTCACACAGTGACACGCCGCACATGACACGCCATCCCACAGTGCCACACCACAGTGTTTCCCTAAACTTTCCCTCCCTTTTGCCGTGCTACGTCTCCCTCACAACCCTCCCCTTCACCACCCCCGCCTTCCCTCATTCCCTCACACCCCCACACCCTCCCCTTGAGCCACTCCTTTGCATCTCCCTCTGCTCCTCTCTGCCCCTTCAGGAAGGCAGGAGCAGCAGGTGCTGGGCCCTCGCAATCTGCTGCCTTCCGTTCGTTGTTCCCATTCTCACCATTCTCCCTCACCATTCTCCCTCACCATTCTCGCCACAGTACATCAAGATGACTTTTGAGAATTCTCAAAAAAACATACGAAGATTTCTGAGTGTATAGTTTACTCAAAAGTCATCTCGCCGCAGTACATCTCCCTCACCACCGCCTTCCTTCCTTCCCTCCCCCCCTCCCTTCAGCTGCTCCTATACACGATGCTCGACCCTCGCAATCTGCTGCCCTTCCTGCACAGCACCACCAACTACTCGCTTGACATGGTATTCGTCTCACACCACCACAAACTTGAGCATGGTACAAGCATGCTCTTTCCTTTCACAGCACCACCAACCAACTACTCGCTTGACATGGTATTCGTCTCACACCACCACAAACTTGAGCATGGTACAACCATGCTCTTTCCTTTCACAGCACCACCAACCAACTACTCGCTTGACTTGGTATTTGCTTTCCCCCCACTCGTCTCTCCACTCTCTCTACACTCACCTCTCCACTCGTCTCTCCACTAGCCTAGCCGTTTTGCTGCAAGGCTTCAAGCCAGAAACTAAATGGCGGCACTGCAAGGCACGTCCTTGTCTACCCTTCTCACGCCCCACATTATCCTCTCACACACCATCCGCCGCTCCTGTCCTTCCTACGCGCCTTCCGATCCGTCCCCATTACACACTCGTATCACAATTATCCCTCCCAGGCGTACCGGGTGTGTGAGAGGAGGGGCGAGGTGGGGGCGATGGTGTATCTGCTGCAGCGTATGGGCAACCATGCAGCAGCCATGGCTCTCTGCATTGACCGCATGGAAAACGTTGACCAGGTGCGCTGCTCATGGCCAGTTGCTGCAAACGATCTTGTTATGAGTTGATGTGTGTTATGTTCACTGGGAAACGGTTGAAGTTGTAAATGAGAAGAAGAAGAAAAAAACTACAGAAAAAAAAAAAAAAAAAAAAAAAAATCCAGAACCGCCGGTCTGCCAATCCCCCAGCATCCCCTCCCCACCCCTTCCTTTCCTGTTCACGCCACCTCAGGCTCTGGACGTGGTGGGGGGGAGTGGTGATGAGTCCCTGTGGGATGCTCTGCTGGAGATTTTCTAGAATTACAACAATTTTATAGAGAATTCATAGATTCCCTCTCGCTCCTCCTCCCCACCTCTCCATGCTACCTCAGGCTCTGGACGTGGTGGGGGAGAGCGGTGATGAGTCCCTGTGGGATGCTCTGCTGGAGCGAGCTGCCTCCAACTCCACCCTTGTACGACTCCCTGCCCCTCTCCATCTCCCTCTCCCTCTCCCTCTCCCTCTCCCTCTCCCTCTCCCTCTCCCTCTCCCTCCCCCTGCCCCTCTCCCTCTCCCTCACTCTCCCTCTCCCTCTCCCTCTCTCTCCCTCTCCCTCTCCCTCTCCCTCTCTCTCCCTCTCCCTCTCCCTCTCCCTCTCTCTCCCTCTCCCTCTCCCTCTCTCTCCCTCTCCCTCTCCCTCTCTCTCCCTCTCCCTCTCTCTCCCTCTCCCTCTCTCTCTCTCTCCCTCTCCCTCTCCCTCTCCCTCTCCCTCTCCCTCTTCCTCTCCCTCTCCCTCTCCCTCTCCCTCTCCCTCTCCCTCTCCCTTTCCCTCCCCCTCTCCCTCTCCCACTCAACCCACCCCCAATGCTGTTCTTCTTCCTGGCCTGTCCCTCTGCCTCTCTCCCCTCACTCCAATCCCACCTAAGGCGCCTCAACATTCTCTCGCCACCCAAATCCCATGTTTCTGCTGCCACCCGCCACTCCCCTGGTCACTCCAACCCCATAGCTTCACTCACTGCTTCTTCCTTTCAATCCTACCAGGAATGTTATCCTACCATTCCTCCATCCTCATAAAGGTGCTTTAAATTTTATGCAGTCCCCCCCCCCATCCCCCATCCCCCCAGTTTCCTCTTTCCTTGTTCATGCAACGTGCGGCTAGCAGCGCTCTTTGACCGCAGGCCCTACTGGGTCTGGACGCCCTGCGCCTCTTTCTGAGCCGTGTCAAAACCCATACCCAACCCCTCAACACCTTTTCACCCCCCTCCCCCCTTGGTGCAACGCAACGTGCAGCTAGCAGCACTCTTTGACCGGGCACTACCGGGTCTGGACGCCCTGCGCCTCGTGCAGCTGGCCATGCCCGCCCACCACATCCCACGGTAGTACTCCCTCGCGCCTCTTGCTCTCATTCGTACCTCCTCTTTTGGGGCGTCACAAAGGCCTGCTCTGTCTGAGGACGTCTTGAAGCGTTAGGTTCATGTTTGGGTTGGGTCGGGAGTCAGTTTTGAGATTCTCAACACTGTCTGAGGACGTCTTGAAGCATTCATGTTTTGGTTGCATTGCTCTGTGCGTGCTCCCTTCATGGCCCCTCATGTCCTTTCACTCGTTCCAGTCAAAGCAACATGAGTAGCGCACCCACTCATCGTTTTCGTTTCTCGTTTTCTGCCCCTCACGCCCCGCTTACACCCTTCTCACACCCTCCCGCACCCTTCTCACTCCCCTCCCGCGCGCCTCTCACACCCTCCCGTACCCCTCTCACACTGCTCCTATACCCCTGTCACTCTCCCTTGGTCCGTGTGAATGGTGTGGTGCAGGCTAAAGGAGCGTCTAGTGGGTGTGCTATCCGCCACCACCACCCAGCTCGCCCTCTCCCAAGGCTGCTACCGACTCCTCCTGGTCTGCTCCCTCTCTACTCCTACTTCTTGTTTCCACACACACACACACACACACACACGCACACACACACACACACACACGCACACTCCTGTACTCTCTCATTCCACCCAGCTCGCCCTCTCCCAAGGCTGTCTGCTGCCCCTCTGCTCCTCATACCTTTTTTTTTTTCCTGCACACACAGGCACACACACAGGCACACACACACACACACACACACACACACACACACACGCACGCACACACACACACTCCTGTGCTCTATCTTCCTTTCTCCACTCCCTGTTCTTCCTTTTGTGTTTCTGACCCAAACTCTATGCCACACCCCCCCCACCTACACACACAAACACACACTCCCATGCTAACTCCCTTCCTTTCCGCCCCACACCCCCCTGCTCTCCAACAGGCGGACTTAACAGTTCTCTTCACCAAGCAATTGAAAGAATCAATCAAGGGCATCCGAGTGGGTTCTTCCATCCACTGCTTTGTCACACACACCACACTCTCACCTCCCCTCTCTCCGCACCACCATCACCACCATCATCACCATCATCACCATCACCACCAGTACCAGCAGCAGCAGGCGTCACTTCCCCTCGCTCTTCTCTCCTCCGTATCTGCTGCTGCCTTTGATGCCGCCTCCACCGCGGCAGCAGCAGCCGCTGCCGCAGCAACCGGCACCACCACCAACACCCCTACCACCACCACCACCATCACCACCACCACCACAACACCACTTCCCTCTCTGCCCTCTCCTCTTGACCTCGCATCAACCGCACCGTTCTTCGAGTCTCTGCCCACGCTAGCAGCACACACGCACCGAGCAATCAAAGGAGCCGTGACTGCAATCGATGCAGTTCTGGACTCTGCTCCTGTGCAAGCCCTTGCACCCGATGTCTCACTAGACTCGATCCGAGCTATAGTGGATTCCACAGGAGCAGCCGGGGTGTTTTCCGCCTCGAATGATTGGCTGGACGGGGATGGGGTGGAGGAGGGGGGAGGGGGAGGCGAGGGGTTGAGACGGGGGGGAGCAGGTGGGGGGGGAGGGCGTGGGGGGGTTGGAGAGTGGAGCGGCGGGAGGAGGGGAGGAGGGCAAGGGGGTGGGGAGGGGATGGAGGTGTTGGGAGGGAATGGGCGGTGCTGTGTTTGCCTGGAGAATGCAGCATCGCTGGATGGTCCTTTTGTTGTGTTCTTCTGCCATCATGGTTTCCATCTCTCCTGCCTCTCCCTCTCTGCTGCTGCCCATCCACCCGCCCCTCTCGCACCGCCTCACTCCTCCTCCTCCCCGTACCCCTCCGCAGCTACCTTCGCTCCTGCCGGAGGTGTGGACAGAGAAGTGGGGGAGGTGAGAGGGGGGAGGGGTAAAGGAAGTGGTGCACATAAGACAGTGTATGAGATCGGTGCTGTACATGGTAGTAGTCGAGGGTGGGGGGGAGATGTTGAGGAGGATGGCACAGGGTGGGGGGGGATGGGGGAGCAAGACGAGGAGGGGGAGGCGGATTTACACTGTATAGTGTGTGGGAGAGCAGCGGAGAGTGTGGGGAAGGAGAGAATGAGCAGTGGCGGTGGCCGGAGGAGTAGCAGGGGGATCGTACATGGGAGAATAGATTTGGCCACAGGTAAGGTGAATACCCCGAGTGCGATCGGCAATCACCAGAAGATAAATGGCACACATAAGGGTAGAGAGGGCGAGGGGATGGGTACAGAACGGTGGGGTGGGTTTAGCTGTGGGAAGTCTGCCGCAGATGCTGATGTGGCGGTGCGGTTGAGACAAATGGAAGTGGTTAGTAAGGAGATGAGATGATACCATTGGTTTATATAGTTCTTGACATGTTTCTTTACAGCTGCAAGAACTCCAGCTTCTGATGTTGCTTGCTGTATCATCGCATTGCAATCATGCCCGCTAACCATGGTAAGCGAAGAACCCGCAAGAATGTTTTTCCGATTCACAGGTTCAACAAACTGAATTGAGAGTATGCATAGTCCATGAATCTGGATTGAGAGTGGCTTCAGCTACCTGATGCACTGGTATATACACATTATTGGGCTGAAAAGCCCTAGGATCTTTGTAGAGTTAAAGTCTGAGTGAGTGATGTAATAGCGGAAGCGTTGAATAAAGTCCTTGAACCACCTTGCGCTAGTATGCGAGGGCAAAGTGAGTTGATTAAAGCAAAGAGATACAGGAATAAATATATGAGTACAAAGATTGAGAAAGCTTGCTTTCTTTCTTATCAATTGGCATCGTTCTCATTACAAATGGCGTGTTACAACATTTGCATCATCGTTCGACATAAGCTAGTGCGGACTAATAACACTAGCTATTATGTACCCTATCCAAGTGGCATTAGCAAGGCGGTTTACACTGGGGTGGGTGGTGGGAATGTTGAGTGAGCCGTTTGAAAATTGAGAAACGTGGGTGGAGGGAAATGAGCTCCAACCCACGGTTTTTGTAGTTGGAGAAGGGCGTTTAGCGCGCTTCGACGGTGCCAATTGTGCAGTACAAGCAGCTTCGCTTTCACAATACACAATTTTAAAAAACACTACATATGTGTTTAAAAATTATAATAATATGAAGAGACATTATGACTACTTTACTGTTGCGGTTCGATATAGTGCGACTCGGGCAACTGCTCAATGTCGAGTCAGTTGTGTGTCCTTGCTGTCGCGCTGCGTCAGGTCAAAGGTCGCTGACCTTTGATTTTCTCGTAACCTCCATCGGTTACGTTAACTTCCGAGGGTTGACTCGCGATGCTTCGATTTGAGCTGCTTCGCTTGTGTCTTGAGTTCTGACACGACAGAGGCGCTTAAACTATTTGTTCCCAACACACATGACATGATGCCTCCTTTAACACTCTCCGATGCTACCTAGTGGTACTAGATAGTAAGCAACCTTTCTCAGCTCATCTTATGGCGATCGCACACACACCATCTTCAAAGATCATCTTCCCTTCCCCTACTACCTCAATCAACCATCTCTCTTCTCCACCACATCGCAGCTCTGCCTTCTCCCAATGTACGGTGTTTATGAGAATTCTCAAAAGCACCTGCAGCATTATGGTACATGCAACGTTCCCAGTACATCCTAGCACCCACAACGTTCTCTCTCAGCCCCTCCTTCCATCCCCTACACTCCACGCCCTTCCCCCCTCACACTCCCTAGCGATCGCCTCCCGAACTCCCCGCTTCTCGTCCGCTTAACTCCCCTGCTCCGTCACACCACTCCCGCCTTCCCCCGTATCCGCTCCGCCAGCACTTGCGCCGGTAGCACCGGCAGCATCTTCGTTTCCGCCATCAACGGGAGGCACACGCGCGGAGTCATCGCCTTCCCCGCGCCGTCCCGACCACGAGGAAGCGCCGGTGAGAATATTCCAGGCCCACCACACCATACCGATTCCTACCGCGACCACCACTGCGGGCTGCACGCCGCCTCGCTCTTTCCGCCCAGTCATGACCTCTTCAGCTCCGAGCATACAACACTAGCGGATGAACTGTACAGAGTGTGGCTCGATGACTTATGTTGCTACGCCGATTGATTCCAGAATAGGACGAGAGGACATTTTCGCAGGGAACCAACATGGGCTCCGTTTCAAAGAATCCGTTTATTGTTTCTGAGAAATACTCCGTTTTGGGCAACTATCTAATAGATACAATATTAGGTTATAGTCTGATCGTGGTGGACCTGTACCGAAGATCCAGACGAGCCTAGATGCCGTTCGCTCACTGACGACGTCAGCTTGGGAGTTGCGAGCGGCCGCCGTCGGAGAATCATGTGCCACACAGAGCAAAAGGGTGACCTCCCGTGGAAAACAAGCAAGCCAGCAAAGAATTCGAGGTTAGATGGATGAGATATACGAAACATTTCTTAACCACATATCCTTATCATAATTACTATATGTTTCTGTTAATTGCTTTCTACAACCTACAACGCAACGCATTGTTTGAAACCTATGGTGAACCTGCCCTGCGAGCTTGAACCTGTCAGGGTGTCAGCACAGAACCCCGTGAATCTTGATGCTCGCCATTCGCCCGCGTGTCGGAATTGGTGGGAAGCTTGAGGTAAACCCGTGACGACCGTGAGAGTTGGGCTGGGATGGAACACCTCAAGCACTGTCGCAAACGGTAGGGCGTCAAGTTGACGGCCATAGAAAATGGCACCGACAAACCAAGGGATGCCTTTGCTCTCGTGGCTGAGAAGAGAAGACTCTGGTCTGGTTTGGTATCTCGAGATTCCCATGCGGTGCACCAGCGGGCCTGTCAGCCAACAGCCACTTTCGCACACTGTACCAGCTTTTGATTCCCTTCTTGCCGCACTGGCTTTGGCACCTATCGGGTTCGTCATCCGCTTCCAGCACTGTGAAGCAAGAGACTTGTGCGAACTCAAGCTATGCTGCTCTGTGATACTCTGATTTCCTTCTTCTCGTAGCTCCAGACCAGAGCCCATACACTACCGAGCTTCTGCCATTCATCGTAGTGTACATCAAGTCGTCTTTCTTTTTGGGGGAAAAGCTCTTCACAGAAGCGGCTTGTGATATGTGGAACGAGCGCGGGGGTGCCGCGCTGGATTGCCGCTGTGCGTCGTCGCCGTCGTCGTCGTCGTCGTCGTCTTCACCGCCGCCGTCGTCGTCGTCGTCGTCGTCGTCGCCGTCGTCATCGTCGTCGTCACTCTTGGGTTCTCACGGAAGGTCGAGCAGTCGCGACGCGTCCCCTCGTGGCTCGCTCTCCGCCACTTTCATCCCCTCCGTCGCCGCCTCACGGTGTAACAGCAGTAGCATGCAGTTGAGGGACCCAGGAGAAGCCTTCCATTCCGCTGCTGGCTCTAACTACGCTCTCCTGCTCGCCGCCTCGTCCGCCTCCTCCTCCTCCACTCACTCTTTCTCTGCTCCTAGATTCGACTAGCCATCCGCCACCATGCTATGAAACGCTGTCCCGACTCACCTCTAACTGAACATGCTCAGCTGACCCACCAACTACTTGCACTGTCGCTTCATCCTGTGAAGCAGAGTCATGGCGACCAGTCTTCGATAAACCGCTTACGCTCCCCGTCGCCGATAGTGTCTATTGTTTGCTCCATTCTTTATCATTCAGGAATCTCCTTCCACCGATTCTGCTCGCCGCTTTCTGCGGGCCAGTATATCCTCACTTCAGCTCTCTCGTCAGTATCCTTTCTCTCTTCGGACTGACGCGCGTTACGTAGCTCTCGTTCCGCCTCTCGAAATCCACCATCTACGTCTGAACCGAACCGCCGGAACCTGAACCTGCATCTGAATCTCTCAGATCTGCATTTGAAACTAAAGTTAGATTCCTTCGAGGTGCCGGATCACCTTCTCGCCAGCTTCGCTTCTCCGTCAACGCGTGTTTCCCCGTTCGTCTCGACGTCCCGATTGTGTGGTCGTCGCGGACGTGGTCTGTTTGTATACTCGACTTCGCAGTGACTTGTTTCGCCCATTCGCCTCGCCGCCGAGCAGTGAGTGGCACCCGTCGCTCGCACTTGATACCCCTGCCACATCTCATTGCATCTCACTGCATCTCACCGCATCTCACCGCATTTACCGCATCTCACCGCATTTACCGCATCTCACCGCATTTACCGCATCTCACCCACCTCAATGAAACAGCAGCTGCTCGCGAACGAAAAAAAGCTCTAATGTCGACCGACCCATTTCGTTACGCGTTCCTTAACAAGTGCCAGCAGCCTGCTGCTGGTGCTTCTGCTCAAGAATCTCGTGGTCGTATTCTCTTTCCCGTCCGCACCACCTCCGCTTTCCTCTTGCCCTGCATGGATCTTATCATCCTCACTTGCAGCTTCATTCCTCAAAACTATCTTCTCCTCTCCTCCTTTCTCCGCCGATACCCCCGTCCCCCCCCCTGCTTTGTCCCTTACCCCCGCTCTCCTCCTTCCCCCTCCCCCCCCTCCCCTCGCTCTCCCCCTTTTTTCCCCTTCCACTGTTCCCAAACTTCCCTCCCCTTTCCTCCCTTCCCCCCTTTCCCTCCCCTTTCCCCCCATCCCCCCTTCCCCCACTTCCCTCCCTTCCGCCCTTTCCCCCACTCCCCCCCTCTTTCCCTACCCCAGTGGCGATACCCTCAGACGAGACAGTCGTGGTGCGCAAGGGGCAGGGGCCGCGCGAGGCGTCGGAGATAACGGTGAACTGCCCGGACAAGGTGGGGCTGGGCTGCGACCTCACGCGCATCATGTTCGAGTTCGGGCTCAACGTCGTCAAGGGTGGTGAGTGGTGCCGCGTGGTGCCAGAGCGGTGCTGCGTGGTGCGTGGGGTTTTGAGAGTGGTGGAGGGAGGTGTGGGACGGTGCGGCGAATCCGTGGGGATGGGAGGGGGTTGGGTGGTGTTGTGGGGGGACGGGGAATGGGGGTGTGTAACGCACGGAAGGCGCGTCTCTAGGCGATCAGAGACCATGAGATAAATTATCAGACGCCGCCACATCGAGCTTAACCCGGGTCTATTCGCTTTTATACCCTATTTCACTCATCACTCCCACTCTTCGCAGTCCTTTACCCGTCCCTCCCTTCTTCCCTCCCTCTTCTCCCCTCCGCGCGCCTACCTTCTTTCTTTTCTCTCCTCTCCCTTTTACACACTCTCCTCCTTCCTTCCCGGATTCCCTTCCCCACCCACCCACCCACCCACCATGCATGTAGATCTGTCAACGGACGGCCGGTGGTGCTTCCTCGTTTTCTGGGTGGTACCGCGCACGCGCACAGGCAAGCCCATCAAGTGGTCTCTTCTCAAACACCGCCTCCTCGCCGCCTGCCCCTCCTCCGAACCCGTATTCTTCTCCCGCCCCTCGCACTCCTCCTCCTCCTCCTCCTCCTCCTCCTCGTCATCATCATCCTCCTCCTCCTCTGGTCACTCCTACGGGCTTCCTTCCTATGGGATCACCTCGTCTACAGCTTACCGCAACCCCTTCTCCTCCTCCTCGTCTTCGTCGTCCTCGGGTCTTGCATCGCCGTTAGCTGGTGGGGGGAGCGGGGGGGTGAATAAGGCGGCGGTGCGGGTGTTCCTGCTGCAGGTGCAAGCATCAGACAGATGCGGACTTTTGAACGGTCAGTGCTCCACTGCTCTCCTGTTGCCGCTCTTGCCCTGCCCCTCTCGCCCTGCTGCTCTCGCCCTGCCCCTCTCGCCCTGCTGCTCTCGCCCTGCTTCCTGCTGGTCCCTGGAAACCACTCACTGTGAATGCCTTCCCTGCGCTGCTGCTGCTGTGATTGCTGCTGCTGCTGCTGCTGCTGCTGCTGCTGCTGCTGCTGTGATTGCTGCTGCTGCTGCTGCTGCTGCTGCTGCTGCTGCTGCTGCGATTGCTGTGATCCTTTTCACCGCCCCCTTCCATACACTTCCCCGTTCCTTTTATTGCTCCTGCCCTGCACCACCCACTCCCCAACCCCTCTCCGCCCCTTCTCCCCAACCCACACTTTCCCCTGCTACGTCACCACACTCTCCCATCGTCCAACCCTACCCCTCGCCTCCCTCCCCCACGCCCCTTTCCTCCCCTCTCCTCCCTCCACTGCTCTCCCCCACGCGTGCCTGCATGTTGCATTGATGGTGCATGCATGTGCCATGGTGCATGCATGGTGCACTGATGGCGCATGCACGTTGCACTGATGGCGCATGCACGTTGCACTGATGGCGCATGCATGCATGCACGGAGAGTCTGCACAGACATGACGCAGCTGCTGTGGGAGTTGGAGCTGACCATCCACCGTGTGAACGTCTCCACCAGCCCGGACGGCCAGGCCATCGACTTCTTCTTCATCACTGACAACCGGTGAGCGTGGCTGGTCGCATGGGTGGGTGGGTGTCTGCCTGGGTGCCTCGATGGGTGCCTGGGTGCCTGGGTGGGTGGATAGCTGGGTGCGTGCCAGCCCGGACGGCCAGGCCATCGACTTCTTCTTCATCACTGACAACCGGTGAGCGCCTTTTGCTGTGTCGCCGCCTGGCTGGCTGGGTGCCTGGGTGCGTGGGTAGCTGGGTGTGTGCGTGGGTGTCCACCAGCCCCGACGGGCAGGCCATCGACTTCTTCTTTATCACCGACAACCGGTGAGCGCGCCTGGAGCAGGTGGGTGCGTTAGTGGGTGCATGGGTGGGTGGGTGGTTGACTGGCTGGTTGGGTAGTTGGGTGGGTGGGTGGCTGGGCGGCTGTGTGGATCCATGGGTGCGTGCCTCATTTTCATCCTTTTTCTGATCCCCCTTCCCTTCCCCCCGGCCCCCACGTGACCCTTTTTTTGCGTTTGTTTCCCCCCGGGCAGCAAGGAGCTGCCCGCAAAGCACCGGTCAGACCAGATCATAGACCGAGTGAGGGACGCGCTCTCCCTCTCAGGCCACAGCAGGGGCGGCGCTAAGGGCCTGCTCGGCTCCTCCGCTGCCTCTGGCGCCACAGGTGCAGGAGCAGGGGCAGCAAGAGCAGGTACAGCAGGGTATGGCGGGGATAGGCTGGTAGGAGCAGCAGCGGGAGGCGTGGGAGGGAAGGGTGGGAGGAGTGGTGGCAGCAGCGGGGGCGCTGGTGCCCTAGGTATGGGTTCTCGTGGTGGCGGTGCTGCTGCTGCTGCTGCTGGTCTGGGTAGTGGTAGGGACGGCAGCAGGGACGGTGCCAGCAGGGAGGGTGAGAGTGAGGCAGTGGTTTGCTCCATATCGCCCACCACAGGCCCTGATGCAGCAGACATAGCGGATCTAAGCCTGGGCGTGTCCGAGTGTGTGCCATACGCTGTGGAAAAGTTTTTGCTCGCTGAGTTCAGCACACCGCCTAACAGCCCCCCTGGGACCTCTGTTTCCAGTGTCGTTGGTGCTGCTGCCGGTGGTGCCAGGGGCGCGAGTGGTGCTGCTGGCGCTGGTGGTGTTGTCGGTGCTGCTGGTGCTGGTTCCGCTGGTGGCGCTGCTGGTGGTGTTGCTGGTGCTGGTGCTGGTGCTGCAGCTGGTGGTGCTGCCAGGGCTGCTGCGTCTGCATTGGGGGGGGCGGGTGTAGGCGCGAGCAGGGGCATGGGCGTGAGTGCGGCTGGTAGCAGAGGGAGATCGCATTTGTCCTTTGAAATGGCTTCGGTATCAGCAGGAGCAGGAGGAGCAGCAGCAGCAGCAGCAGCTCAGCCGTCGCGTTTCTCAGGAGCAGCGGCAGCAGCAGCGGCAGCAGCAGCAGCACCAACGGCAGCAGGCACGGGGGGCTTTCAAACCAACGCACCATCCCCAGCATCGTCATCATCATCATTAACAGCAGCAGCAGCAGCATCAGGGCTGGCAGCAGCAGCAGCGGCAGGCACAGGGGTGGAGATAGACTCATCGGACCTGGCGTTCTCGCCTGTGTTCTCTGAGGGGCTCGGCCCCTCCCAGCCGCCTCCGTCTGTTGCGCGGGTCACTGTGGACAATGGCATGTCGCCCGCTCATTCCATGCTGCAGGTAGGCCTGGTTGGTGGTGGTGATGGGAGGGGGGAGGGGAGGGGAGGGGAGGGGAGGGGAGGGGAGGGGAGGGGAGGGGAGGGGAGGGGAGGGGAGGGGATGGGATGGGGGGGGGAGGGGAGGGGATGGGATGGGGTGGGTGGGGATGCAACACATTTGCTGACGTCAATATTGTACTCAAATTTGACACCTAGAGCCTTCTCCCTCTCCTTCTCCCACTCTCTCTCATTCGCTCTCCCTCTCCTTCTCCCACTCCCTCTCTCTCTCCCTGTCCCTCTCCCTCTCCCTCTCCCTCACCCTCTCCCGCTCCCACTCCCTAGCGCCAATCCCTCTCTCACTCACTGCATCACTCCTTCCGGTGCTCCCTCTTTCACCGCCACCCTCTCCCTCCCTCCCGTGCGCGCTGCAGATCCAGCTAAAGGATCGCAAGGGCCTCGTGTATGATTGCCTGCACAGTCTAGTTTTGGGACGTCTCAAAACTCTCTCCCTCCCACTCTCTTCCTCCCGTGCGTGCTGCAGATCCAGCTTAAGGATCGCAAGGGCCTCGTGTATGATTGCCTGCGCACACTTCGAGACCTCAACATGCAGGTGGGTGGGTGATTCTATCTGTAAGACGTCTCTGCAGTCCAGTTCTGAGACGTCTCAGAAAGGTGACTTGTGTGTGACACGACTCAAAGGCTACCGTTCACACGTGGCGGGTAGGAATAAGGGATACTGCCCAGGTATGGAACTGGGAAACAAAGCTGCCTGCTTATTCCCTGGCACCAAACCTTCTTTTCCTTTCTGTACTCCTCCTCTCGCTTCTTCCTTCCCTGCTCCTCCCGCTTCTCCCTCCCTGTTCCCTGCGCCCGTCCTCCCCCTCTTTCTCTTCTCAACTACCCCTCCCCTTCCCCACGGCCCTTGCCCTCCCCACCTTGCAGGTGTCGTATGGCCGCATAGCCACGACAGAGGATGGCGTGTGTCAGCTGGACATTTTCGTGGTGGACAGCAGCGGCAGCAAGGTGGAGGGGGTAGCGCAGCAGGCGGCTTTTGAGTCGCCTCAAAAACCACCAATTTTCCCTTCTGAGACTCCCGTTTTTTCACCTCTCCACCCCCTTTGCCCCGTTTGCCTTGCCCTCCCCTTGCCCTCCACCCCTTCCCCCCTCCTGTACCCTCCCCTCCTTTTCCCCCGGCCTGCGGCTTGCAGGTGTCATACGGGCGCATAGCCACGACAGAGGAAGGCGTGTGTCAGCTGGACATGTTTGTGGTTGACAGCAGCGGCAGGAAGGTGGAGGGGGCAGCGCAGCAGGCGCGGATCTGTGCGCGGCTCACAGCGGAGCTTGAACGCCCTCTGCGCATCGTGGTGGTGACACGAGGAGGGAAGGGTAGCGTCGTGGGGTCGGTGGAAGGAGGCGAGGTGAAGGAGCGAGGGAGCGGCGGTGGTGGTGCTGGTGCTGGTGGGAGGATGGGAGTGGGGATGGGGATGGGAATGGGGTTGGGGATGGGGATGGGGTTTGTGGGGATGGTGGGGATGGGAAGGAGTGTGTCACCAGCTGTAGTGCCGGCGGGAGTAGCAGCAGGAGGGGGAGGGAGAGCCGGCAGAGCAGGGTCAGCAGCCGCAGGCGCAGCAGGGGCAGCAGTGGCGGCAGGGGCAGCAGTGGCGGCAGGGGCTGGCGCAGGGGGGTTCTTATCCCCTTCGTCTGCATCCTCGTTAAGAGCAGGCTCAGCAGCAGCAGCAGCAGCAGCATCAGCGTCGGCAGATGAGGCAGCGGAGGCAGAGCTGCTGGTGGCAACGCCGGTGGAGTGCTGTGGGCGGGGCAGGCCGCGTGTGCTCTTTGACATGACTCTCGCTCTCAGGCAGATTAACGTGCAGGTCTTCAAGGTGAGGGCATGGGATTCAGTGTGGAGTGGAGTGGAGTGGAGTGGAGTGGAGCATCGTGCGTGAGTGGGGTCAGCTGTGGGGTCTGGTGGGTGGTGTGGTGAGGGTGGAGTGGAGTGTGTTGAGTGATTCCCTCTTGGCATGCTGGTTGTGTTGTATGCTGCAGGGTGGGTTGACTGTGTGATGGCTTTTGAGGCGCCTCAAAAGGAGTGTAGTGATTCCCTCTTGGCATGCTGGTTGTTGTACGCTGCAGGGTGGGTTGGCTGTGTTATGGAAGCGTGTTGAGAATGTGTTGGGTGTGCGCTGAGTGTGTGCTGTGGTGTGTGCTGGGAGTGCGTATAAGTGTGGATGTGAGTTCTTGTTGAATGCTTTGAGCCAAGGGCTTTAAGGGTAAAAGGGTTCAGGTTTATGCTGGCCGATGTGCAAGACTGGCAATAAGCCACCATTCCTCCTCTCTTCTTCTTCCTATCTTTCCCTTCTCCCCTCACATCCCCCGCCCTGCCACGTCACCCCCCTGCCCTGCCACGTCACCCCCTGCCCTGCCACGTCACCCCACTGCCCTGCCACGTCATCGCCCTGGCACGAGCAGGCGGACATAGCACGGCATGAGATGGGGGGGCGCACATGGGAGGTGTACCGGCTGATTCTGCAGGACAGGGGGGGGCAGCCCATCTCCAAGCTCAAGACCCGCCTCTACATTGCAGACCAAGTCAGGACTGTGCTCATGGGGTGATGGCTCATGGGGTGATGGCTCATGGGGTGATGGCTCATGGGGTGATGGCTCATGGGGTGATGGCTCATGGGGTGATGGCTCATGGGGTGATGGCTCATGGGGTGATGGCTCATGGGGTGATGGCTCGTGGGGTGATGGCTCGTGGGGTGATGGCTCGTGGGGTGATGGCTCGTGGGGTGATGGCTCGTGGGGTGATGGCTCGTGTGGTGATGGCTCGTGGGGTGATGGCTCATGGGGTGATGGCTCGTGGGGTGATGGCTCGTGGGGTGATGGTTCATGGGGTGATGGCTCGTGGGGTGATGGTTCATGGGGTGATGGGTTGTGATGGCGTGATGGGATGGGACCATAACGGGATGACCGAGTTGTTGGCTCATTAGGCGCATGAGCAGACACCAGCAGCAGTGGGCAGCAGCAGCGGCAGACAGCAGAAGACAGCAGCGGGTTGACGTTTTCACCTTATGCCCTTTTCTTTGCTATCTGCCTGCATCTCCCCGCCTCTCCTGTGCGGCGCGTGTGCTAGTCCCTAGTACTCTTTCACCTCGAAGTGCGCCGAATCAATTGTGTGCCCCTAACACATGATGCAGTGTTATTGATTACTTCTAACTCTTGTTTATATTTTTTGTTAGCTGCAAATGCATGTATCACTTTTGTGTTTGAGCGCATTTCCAAATTACTGGTTTCCTCGTTTATGCGGGTTGACTACACCGTTCTGAACGTAGGACAGCAATCGTCTCGGCTTGAATGCAGTTCAATCTCATGTTATGATTTGTATACTTCAGTAACTAAGAGCGCGTCTCTTTTGATGTAGACGTTCGAGAATCGGGTCGAACTTTTGCTGGTAACCTGTTTCGTTGCGCTCTCCTAAATATTCGCGAGGGAATCGTGTGTCCTAGTTCAAACGGTGTGAAGGAAGTTGGACACTAAACTGAAGTCGACCTGCGACTTGTAAAACAGAGTAGCTGTGACTACTGGAGGGCTGGAAACTTGGCTGGAAAGTCTTAGCAGGGCTGCTGGAATTGACTGGATGAGGTAAAACTTCACTATGTTCAAGATTAACAAGCCCACTAAAGCACAACTCTATAGGCATCACAAACAAGACAGATTGAAAGCTCAAACTAGGCTGATAGACAATGTAACTTCCCTGGTAACTTGGGCACAATCTAGATTGGATGGACCTTGAGTGACTTTGAGTGCCACATGAGGTGCATGAATAAGAAAACTCTGGATATTTCTGTCATAGCTGATTCTGATGTGTAGAAACCTGTAGAAACTGCCAACACTTCGGTTTGAAGGCAGCTTTGAACTGTATCGAGTCTTCGGCTGAAATCTGATTGGTGGTGGAACTTTCGAAGTACTTCCCAAAGCCTCTGATTCATCGCCGACATTCCCCCTTGCTGCTGCTTGTGTGCAAAGGGCTGGGGCGGCAGAAACTCGATTCTCCAACACTCCCCCTCGCACCAGACCCGAAGCACACATACACCCATGCTGATGCTCCTTTCACATCTCCTTAGCATACACTTCATGCTGCTGCCCACGTCTCTTCCCCTCACACTCCTCATTCTCCTCAAACTGCTCTACTGCTTCATGAAGTGTCATGAGGCCTGCTCTTGCCTTGCACATGTTGAATGCATCATGTGGAAGAACCTTGGTCATGAAATCTGCTGCTTGATCGAATGAACGGCAAAAGTTGACGGCGAGAACTCCTTTCTCTAGTTGCTCACGAATAAAGTGGTACTGCACCTCGATGTGTTTTGTACGCCCATGATGAACCGGGTTCTTGGAAAGAGCTATGGCTAAAGTAGTGTCCACGTAGAGCGGAGTTGGTTGAGCTTGCGGCTGCCTCAAGTCCTCCAAGAGTCCACGTAACCAGATTGCCTCCCTTGCTCATTTGGTCATTGCCATGTACTCAGCTTCGGTTGTTGAAAGTGCCACACAACTTTGCTTGCGCGATTGCCAAGAAACAGCGGCACCACACATGAGGAAGAAGCCAAGCCCCGAATGCTAAAAAGCTTAATTTTGAGTGTTTTTGTTGTCATGAGTGGGGTCACCCGTGGTATGCTTGTCCTAAAAAGCCTCCTAATTGGGTCCCCCCACCTCAGCTACTATTTGAAAAAGGTAAGGCAGCCATAGCAAATATAGCAAGTCATTCTACAAGTCAAGATGAGTCCAAAGAGTCCGATGGTCGTGTCCTTTTTAACGCTGCTACTTGCATGCACGTTTTCTCTACTAGTAGTGAAGAGTTTATTCTTGATAGTGGCTGCTCTGAAACCATGACTCCCTATCAATCCATTCTCAAGGATTTTCAGCCCTCATATGACTCAAAAGGTGTGACTCTTGCTGATCTTGGCAAAGTACCAGTCAAAGGAGTCGGCAAGCTTGAGTTCGAAAAGGATGGTAAGTCATTTTGTGTCAATAAAGCTTTGTTTGTTCCTGATTTGGGAGCAAACTTGCTCTCAGCCGGACAACTCGAAGAGAAAGGTGCCTCCGTTCTCTTGCAAGGGGGGAAAGCCAAAGTGTGGGACAGTGTAGGAAATCTGGTGGCTGAAGGCGAGCGTACCGGGTGTCAGAACATCATAGCTTATGCTTTTGTGTAGGCTGTAGTGGGGTAGCCTATATGGGGTACAACCCAATTAGGGTTAGTACTTGTACCCAACTCTTTCATACTGCATACATTCTCGTTCATTTACACATGGTTTCAGAGCACATATGCTCCTGGCCTGTGGGCCCTATACTGCTTCCGCTGCTACTCGATCTGTCGCACGCCCCGTGGCGTGCGACCTATCTTTCGCGCGCGGCGATTTCCTCTCTGGCGCGCGCCCTGAGGCGCGCGGCCCCGTCTCGTCGCGCCCCCTCGCTGCCGCGTCGCGGCCCCATCTCGTCGCGCCGCCCTAGCGGCCGCGTCGCGCCGCCCTCGCGGCCCCGATCCGCCGCCCTAGCGGCCCCGTCACCTACCCCTGCGGCCCCGGCGCCGCCCATCCCGGCCCCGGCTCCGCCCTTCCTGGCCCCGGCGCCACCTCGGCTGGCCCCGTCGCCTACCCCGGCGACCCCGACGCCGCCCTTCCCGACCCGGCCCCGCCTCTGCTGGCCCCGTCGCCTGCCCCTGCGGCCCCGGCTCTGCCCTTCCTGGCCCCGGCGCCACCTCGGCTGGCCCCGTCGCCTACCCCGGCGACCCCGATGCCGCCCTTCCCGACCCGGCCCTGCCTCTGCTGGCCCCGTCACCTACCCCTGCGGCCTCGGCGCTGCCCTTCCCGGCCCCGGCGCCACCTCTGCTGGCCCCGACGCCGCCCTTACCGGCCCCGGCGCCGCCTCTACTGGCCCCGTCGCCTACCTCTGCGGCCTCGGCGCCGCCCTTCCCGGCCCCGGCGCCGTCCTTCCCGGCCCCGGCGCCGCCTCTGCTGGCCCCGTCACCTACCCTGCGGCCCCGGCGCCGCCTCTGCTGGCCCCGTCGCTGCTCCACCCGGCCCCGCCGCCGTCCCCAAGCGGCCCCGCCGTCACCATCGAGCCGCCGGCGCCGCCGAGCTGCTACCGAGCCGCCCGAGCCGCAGCGCCACCTGAGCCGCGCGAGCCGCCGGGTCGCCGAGCCGCCGAGCTGCAGTTGTCGCCGAGCCGCCCGAGCCGCCCGAGCCGCCGAGTCGCCGAGCCGCAGTTGCCGCCGAGCCGCCCGAGTCGCCCGAGCCGCCGAGCCGCAGTTGCTGCCGAGCCGCCGTGCCGCCGAGCCGCCCGAGCCGCCCGCACCGCCGAGTCGCCGAGTTGCCGAGTCGCCGAGTTGCCGAGTCGCCGAGCCTACTCTTCCCACCACTGGTGAGCCCCTGCCCTGCTAGCGCGCTGCCCGCCGCCTGCTTGCCTGCCTGCCTGCCTTTCGGCCTGCCTGGCTGCCTGCCTTACTGCTGCTACTCCTGCTCCTGCTTCTACTGGCGGAGCCAGATGCAGCCCCAGCGACGTCCGCGTGAGTCCCTCACGCCCCAGCAGCTGCGTGAGTGGTATGCTGGTTGGGGTTGTAGGGGTGGCGGCGCTGCTACTGCTACCACTACTGTTGCTACTACTACTGGCGGCGGCCAGATGCAGCTCCAGCGACGCCCACGCGCGTCTCTCACACCCCAGCAGCTTCGTGAGTGGTACGCTCAGAGTAGAGGGTCTCTCAGTTCTGTTCGCTGCTCTTACGTGATTCGCACTGGTGCTCGGACTGGTCAGCCTTGTGGGACACCTAGTCACACACAGTCCCGCTGCTTCGCCCGTCTGAGCGACGCCTGGCGTACCGAGTTTGGCGACGAGGCTGAGCTCCCCGACTGAGTGGAGTTGCTTAGGCAGAGGGTAGATATATTTGCTCTTGACTATGATGCTATTCTCACTGCCATGTATGCATTGCCTACTAGTGCTGACCGTGCCGATCACCTGTGCGTACCGCCTGACCCGGGTATAGAGCCTGCTGCTCTAGCTGCTGGTGAGGCTGCTGCTCTGGGTGCTAGTGAGTCTCCTGCTCCAGGTATAGGTGCGGCTGCTGCTCTAGGTGCTAGTGAGTCTGCTTCCTCAGGTGCGGGTGAGTCTGCTCTCTCAGGTACTGCGTCGGCTCCGGCCTCTCACATCTTCACTCTTGACTCGAAGGCTTCCCGCTCCTTCTTTCGAGACCGCACCACACTCACGCCGCTTGGTCGGCCGGTTGCAGTCTCTCTGGCAGACCCCTCTGGGGGTCCTGTCCTTGCTCACTTCTCCACTGTCCTCCCGTGTCCGGCGGCCCCCTCTGGCACCCTGTCTGGTCTTTACCTCCCCTCGTTCTCTACGAACTTGGTGAGTGGTGCTGACCTACAGGATGCACGGGTTCACCAGTTCACTCCTGCGAGTCAGCGGGTGACCCACTGCACGGATGCTCGGACAGGCCGACACCTGGCCACGTTTACACGTCGGCAGGGGTCGAGCCTGTACACGCTGACCACTGCGTCTCCTCCAGTCACTGCGTCTGGTCAGGTAGCTGCGTCGGGTCAGGTGTTTGCTGCAGCGTCCAGGTCTGGTCCTGAGTCTGCCCCCTGCTCGTGTCGTCTCCTGTCTCACGAGACTCTCCTCTGGCACCACCGCCTTGGTCACCCCTCCATGCTTCGTCTCCGAAGCATGGCCTCCCGTGTCCTTGTCTCTGGTCTTCCCCGGTCCCTCCCTCCCCTTACTCCGGGGCCTGGCCCTACCTGCGTCCCCTGTGTCGAGGGGCGGCAGCGGGCTGCCCCTCACTCCTCTCAGTTTCCTCCAACAGAGGCCCCGCTGCAGACGCTTCACATGGACGTGTGGGGCCCGGCCCGCGTCCGTGGACAGGGTCATGAGCGCTACTTCCTGCTGGTG